CGTGTTTAATAATAAGAAAAAAATTGAAATTATTTATAATTAAAAGTGCTTCAGTTGAATTAAAATTATCCAAGCAAGCATTACCCTTGTTCAATTAGGACCAAGTTATTTGCCTCATTTTCATTATACCTCATTAGGACCAAGTTTTGCCCATCCAAAAATAAGTTTACCACAAGTAGTGGTATTTTGCTTTGCCTGCATTGGCATCGAAAACAGACACATCAGTGACATCTACAACATTCTGCAGGCTAACAATACATTAATTGATTCTTTTTTACCTTTTTTGCCTCTTTGCGACGCCAGTATATTTCAAAATCGTTAAATAAATTTTTTAAAAAACCATATATAAGTTCCACTTTGTAGACTTATATTTTTTTTAATTTAGTAAATCGTAAGATAGATTAAATTAAACTAATAATTAAAAAAGATATAAGCAAAAAAATTATTTTAAATATTAATTGATTGTGATAATCCACTAATATTTGAAAATAAATATAATTTTTTAGATCATATAATAATAGTACCATTCATTTATATATCTCTTTTGCAGACATTTATTTCCTTATCAATGAGACTGAGTTAATATTTAAACACACAAAAGATCAAAGTAATCAAGGATTACTTTCACCCAGACCAAATTATGAATTATGTGTCGTTTTTAATAAGAAACCATGTCATGAAGCCAAGGGTTAGAATAATGAAAGAGGGTGTCACCTTTCTTAAATGATCTCAAAAACAAAAAAGTATTCATTTAAATAGACAAGCATAATGACGGGGAAAAATTTGATTCCAAAGAGGGGTGATACGAAAATAAACGACGTTAAGTGTTAAATCAAGAAGTCGTAAGAAAGTGGGTAACGGATTTAACTATTAATTATTACAAAATTTAATATTGATTATTTCTGTACATAAAAAGTAAAAGACCGAGGATATCCATGATTGATAAAAATCTTAACCTAAAACTGTATTCTCTAATGATTTGCGATTTTCACAAACTTATCAAAAAAAAATAACCACCATCAACTCAAAATCTGCCGTACTTGTCCGATATTCAACGGATTACATGCTTGCACAGCTTACAAGTAGCATTAACTCCTTTATCCCCTTCTTGGAAAAATAATTCAAAAATTAAAAAAGTTGAAAACTTGTTTTAAAAAACCGAAAATCAATATCCATAACTAAAGTCTTGTGGTTGGGACGTTTCACCAGTCATTTTCATTGCCTTCCACTCTCCAAGAGCTAATAAATACAAGGTTAAATTAAATAAAATGTTGAAAAATCTTACTTTCACTACAACATTTTTACATATCAGTTTGAGTCTATTCCTCTTAACATTTCCTTCCATTTTATCTTAGTGCCATCAGTATATCAACTATGGCAAAACCAAATTAATGCGTCTGACCAAAACGTAAAAGGTAAAACATTTCCTTTGGGAACTTTAGTGATACAATAAAGGTCATCATCAATCACAACCAAAACATGTACCTTTAACATCTGCTGCCTTTCCGCTACATTCCTTCTAAATAGATGAAAGTTGAAACACCTGATATATTTATTATTTTTGCAAAAACTTGCCTAAAATTTACCAGCAGAAAAACTATTATTAAACTATTTCATTCTCAGAAATGTTCTTTTGAAAGCGCAAACTCTCCAACCTTTGAATTCTTTTGGGGCCCTCAACTATCAGCCAATTTTACCAGTCTTTCCTAACTACTCTCCCACCCGCTAAAAAAATTACTGAAGGGTTTGTTGAAGTTCTGACTTTCATGGACTTTTTCTATTAGGAAAACATTGTTAACACATAATACAATACTAGCAGTATTATTAAAAACTACTAGGATTAGCTAGCCTGCAAGATAACTCAAACATATTAAACCACAAAAAAATAAGGAAAAAGAAAGTAACTGGAAAATTAAGAACATAAAAAACGACAAGGTCAGCGATTGCCACTACCCAACTAAAAATTAAATAGAAATCTGTTATCACCAAAGAGAAAACATAAATAAAAAAACAGTCCATCAAGAAAAAAAAAAAAAAAAAAAAAACAGTAATTCATAATAATCTTATATATATATATATATGTGTGTGTTTTAGTAACAGTTATCAAAAACCCCCCTACCTATTATACCACTCTCAATGCTATATTATATTAATGTGTGTATTTCGTATAGCAAAACCCATCCTATAATCCCGAAATCCCCGACCACAGAGAGAGAAGAGAGAGAGATACCTTTGGAATCCCTCTACTCCCCTGGTTGAGGAAGATCGCCGGACAGCAGGATCTTGGCGCTCTTCCACAGCACTCAGTGGCGGTGAGGGGCGCGAGCAACGTCAACGTCGTTTGTGAAGATGAGAGAGAGAGATGGGGCAGCAGCGGCGTCGTGCAGGAGGAGGATGACAGTGAGGTGGCGAGCACCGGTGGAGGGAGGAATCGGGAGTGAGGGGAGGATCGGCGCGGTGACGGAGAGAAGCACTAACTAATAAAAAGTCAAAACGGCCTGGTGAACGGATGCACGGCGCCGTCGTTGTGTGAAAAGAGAGAGAGGAAGGACGAAACCCTAGATGGCAGGAGAGAGACGAGACGAGAGAGAGAGAGAGCAGGAGGAGAGGCAGACGCGGTCTAAGAACAGATTAGGGATTTTTGGAAGAGCATTGGGGCATTTTTTTGCCTTTGGGGGAGCGGGAAAGCTTAAAAAAAAGAGGGGTGGAACCCAAAATATATATATATATAATATATTATTAAGCGGTCCAAAAAATGAAATTTTAAATAACAACAATAAACGCCGTTTAATTTTTTTTTTTTTTTTTGAGACTGGGGGTTGCTATCCTGTCAAAAAATTTTATTTTTTGTTAAATAATATATATTTTTTTCTAGTTGATGAATTTTTTAAAAAAAAATTCTTTTTTTTTCTAAGCTTTACGAAGATTTGAAAATTTATTTGTTTCATTTTTTATTTTATATGAAAAAAAAATATTATTATTTTTTATTTGGTAGTAGTAGGGGCAATTATTTTAATGAAAAATATTTTAAATGAAAAAAAGGTGAAAGGGAGATGGTGCGTGGTCGATGGTGGTGGTGGTGGTGATAGCGAAAAATATTAGTGGTGAAGTTGTGGTAGTGGTAGTGTAAATGGAGTGGCAGGGGTGAAAGAGAGGTAATGGTAGTAGTAGTGGCAGTAGTGGTAGTGGTGGTAGTGGAGTGGTGGCAATGGTAGTAGTAATGGTAGTCGTAGAGGTGAAGTTAGTAAAAGAGATGAGTAGTGAGAGAGAGAGAGAGATGAGTGAGAGACAGATAGAGGAGAGAAAGCGAGAGAGAGACAGAAACAGAGTGATGAGCGAGAGAGAGACAAAGTGGTCGCTGTGAGAGAGAGAGAGAGAGAGAGAGATGAGTGAAAGACAGATAGATGAGAGAAAGCGAGAGAGAGAGACAGAAACAGAGTGATGAGTGAGAGAGAGACAAAGTGGTCGCTAAAAGTGCATTTTCTTGTAATGGAGAGCTCAGTAAATAGAGAAGCGATGAGGGAGAGAGTGAGTAATGTGAACACAATGGGGGAGATAGACAAACAGACAGACAGACACATAGAGAAAAAGAGAGAGAAACAAAAGAGTGAGAGACAAACAAACAGACACAGAGAGAGAAAGAAAGAGAGAAAAGTGATAAGTGAGAGAGGGATAAAGAGAGAAAGAGATATAGAGAGAAAGAGATATAGAGAGACACAGAGACAAAGAGAGAAAGAGATAGAGAGAGACATATAGAAAAATAGAGAGAAACAAGAGATGAGAGAGACATATAGAAAGAAAGCGAAAAGAGATGAACGAGAGAGAGAATAGAAAAATAGAGAGATAGAGAGAAGAGAGATGGGCGAGAGAAACAGAGAGAGAAAAAAGAGATGAGCGAGAGAAACAGAGAGAGAAAAGAGATGAGAGAGATAGAGAGAAGAGAGATGAGCGAGAGAGACATAGAGTAGACAAATGAGAGAGATAGAAAGAAGAAAGATGAACGAAAGACACATAGACAGACAGACAAACAGACAGATAGACAAACAGACAGAGAAAGAAGAGTGATGAGTGAAAGAGAGAAAGAGAAGAGTGGTGGTAGTTAAATGGCATTTGCAGTAGTGGTAAATGTGTTAGAGAAGATGGGTGGTGAGAAAGAGAGATGAGTGAGAGACGAATAGAGAAAAGAGATAGAGAGATAGAGAAAGAGACAGAATGATGAGCGAGAAAGAGACAAAGTGGTCGCTAAAAATGTATTTTCTTGTAGTGGATCGATAAATCTAAAAGGAGCTCAATAAATAAAGAAGACAGATAATTCAAAACTCTTTTCAAAACTTAATTCAAATCAATTTTTTAAATATTTTAAAAATATTTTAATTTTGTGAGAGACAGATAAAGAAGAGAGAGAGAGCAGAGATAGAGTGATGAGCGAGAGAGAGAGAGAGATAGACAAAGTGGTTTGCTAAAAGTGTATTTTCTTATAGTGGATCGATAAATCGAGAAGGAGTCGTATAAATAGAGAAGATGGGCAGTAAGAGAGTGAACAGGCGAACATAGTGAGGGAGAAATAGACAAATAGCAAGTAGACAGAGAGAGAGTGAAGAAGAGTTGATGAGTGAGAGAGGAGACAGGAAGAGAGAGATAGACATAAAAAGAGATAGAGAGAGAGAGAGATGGAGAGATAGAAAGAGAGAGAACAAGAGATAGGCGAGAGATAGACAAAAAGAAAGAGAATAGAGCGAAAAGAGATGAGCGAGAGAGAGAGACAAAGAGAAGAGAAATGAGCGAGAGAGATAGAGAAAGAACGAAAATAGGAGAGAGAGAAAAAAAAAAAAATGAGAGAGATAAGAGAGAGAGAGATAGACGAGAGACACAGAGAGAAAGAGAGAGAGAACAGGTGACATAGAAAGAAGAGTGATAAGTGAAAGAGATAAAGAGAAGAGAGAGAGAGATAGAGACAGAGAGACGGGAAGATGAAAAATGAATGAAAGAGAATGGTAATCAAAAGAGTAAGAGACATTATTTTTTTATAATTTTTTTTGCGACAGAAAAATACGTTGAATTTATTCAACCATTTTGTGACTGTATATATATGAAGCTATCTCAAAATCACAATCACTATGCTAGTAGAGTTTCCAAAAACTCTTTTGAGAAATTAACTTTCTTTTTCCGTGTTATATTGTTTTTACTGAATTTTTTAAATATTTAAGTATTTTTAATTTTTAGACACACCTAACATAAATACACCTAAAAATTAAAAAATTGTAAAAAAAATCTTTAAAATTCACTAATACAAAAATACAATAATAATACATTTTTTTGTATTTTTATGTATTTATTAATTTTTAAAAATATTTTTCATAATTTTTTTATTTTGTAGATACATCTAAGTAAGGTACATCTAAAAAAAATATTAAAATTTTAAAAATATTCACTAAAAAAAACACGAAAGTCACTTTTTGCGATGGTAGAAAATGCCGTCTCAAAAAAGCAGAGTATTTGCGACGGCACCATTTACCGTCTCAAAAAGCAGA